AGTCCCAGCACTTCGGGAGAATCAGGCAGAAAGGCTGCTTGAGGTCAGGAGTTAGAGACTATCCTGGGCAACATAGTGAGACCCTGTCTCTAAAAAAATAAAAATAAAAATAAAATTAAAAAAATTTAAAAACCACATTGTCATTTAGTGACTTAATATGACAAATGTATACTTATTTTTTGTTGTAGCACTCCCTTTCATTTTCAATTATACCCTCTCATTAACATTAAATTGTATTATTACCTAACTTAATAATTAAGACTGAGGTTACACACACTTATTGGCAATTAATATTGAATATCAAGCCACAGGTGTGCTTGAAAAAATATATATTGCTTTCAAATTCATCAATAATAATATGTCTTATATGTTCAGGTGTTCCAGTTTTAGTTTACACTTTTATTGTTGAATATGTGTCAACAAATACCTGGTGATAATATACTTAAATTTTCTAGTTATCCAATTTTGAAATTATTGTTTATTTCGTCTCATTACTCTAAATACAGAGTAAAAACAAAATAGGAAGTGTCACATTAAATAGTTCTAAGAAATAACTATCATTTTGATTTGCTTCTTTTTTATCCCCTTAGGATAAAACAGAAAGGACAATTTATATCTTGAATTGCCCTCAAAATAATCCTAATCTGAGAAGTAAAATGACTAAATGTTTAAGGAAAAACAAAAAGTATTGTATAGAATATTTAATTTGACCTGATAAACACTATGAAGAACATTCATATACTTTAAACTAATAAGTAATGCTTAATTGAAGCTTATAGAATCAGTAGTATTAGTGTGAGAATTGTAATGGTCATCAAAAATCTGACAAAATGTTTTATCCCTCTTTTGTAGGGTAAATAACCAAGTATATTTTAAGAATCTGAAAAAAAAGGAATGGAATCTGTGTAAAATGGCTTATGAATTGGTCTTGTACATTAAATGCCACCCAATTGCTTGCACTTCTCATTCCAAAGGCATTGAATAGTTTCATTCCTATCAGAAATAATAGAAGTTGGTGTAGCCAGGGAAGAAAATGAAACCCCAGATGATTGAGTCGGCTACAGAATAAAAGTTACAATCTGATTCTTCTTATTGTTTTCCTAGGAAGAAATTGGCACAAGTAAATTTCCAGAAATTTCTAGAAAAAGTTGGATATTTGAAGTGAAAATATATAAATGAATGCAAGTCATGATTATTTGGAGAGGAAAATAAACTATTATAAAAAATTGCAATTAAATAAATTCATATTATACATATCACAGCCTTATAATTTTGGTTCTTTATTCCTACGCTCCATACATAAAGTGTTTTAAGATGCAGAAATAATTGTTACATTACTTTTTATTTAATAACATATTGTTTTTCACTAAGATATAAATATAATCCTATTTTTGTTATGAAGGTATTTAAAATATATTTTTTTGTTTTGCTTTTTAATTTTCTCCTCTGACAAAATTAAATACTGTGGGGAAAGAAGTAATTGTTCTCCATTTTTCCGTTGTGCTTAGATATGGAGCTGGACATTATATTTCTTTGCAGTTAATAGGATGAGAAAATGTTATGGCAGTGACAACTTTTTATTTTGCCACCAAAAATTACCTACCAGCAGAAAGCTATACTGTGTCCCTAAATTATAATTTATTTTAGGAATAGGAGGATGTTGGTATGAAAAGAAATTCTAATTAGTGAATGTAATTGAATGTGATTAATCTATATTAATTTCAGCATCCAGAATAAGCTATTGTTTAATTAACTTCTTATACATATAAATTAAATTTTATTACATTAATTGTAATTACTAAAAATATACATGTAAATAACTATATAGGAATAAATTGCAATCAAAACAAAGTTGTTTTTTTTCAAAACTTGCTTTTATGAGTCACAGAAAGTCAAGACAAGCCAGTAAGATTTAAAGAAAGTCTCATGTTGAAATTGTTATTAAAAATTGACATATGGAAAGGTTGTATCTCATCACTGGTATGCTAGTAAAATTTAACTGTCTTTCTGAGGAAACAAAACCTATTATTGTAATGTTTGCTGATTTTGTGATACAGCTATTTCCACTGTTGACAATTTCAAACTCGTCACATGGCACCACTGATAAGGGAGTTGGGAAAGAATGTCTATGGAGGTCTCTTGTAAGCCAATGCACGCCAGTAGCTCCAGCACACCCTGTTACTGATGATTATTTTATTATGATGAAATGGCAGCAATTGATTCAATTAGGGATTGGCTGCATAGAGTTGTTAAATACAAGATGACCGCAAAGTAAAATAAGAATAAATCTCTGATGACCCAAGCATAACGCTAATACACAGAAAATCAGAAACACAGTATCATTAATTCCAAAGATCACTCAGAAAACAAAATGTCACTCACTGGCTTTGATTCCCAATGTATATACAGATAATTGGAGCTCAGCGTACAATTATTTGTAAAGTTGGGTACAACAATTAAATAGTCCACTGTGTACAAATAAAATACATCATCAAAATTAACTGAAGATTAGTTAGAAAAATAAGTATATTAGCAGAGTTTGAAAACACTGAACAATCTACAGAAATTATCTCTCAAAAATGGTCAATGCCTTTAAAATTATAACAAATAGATTATTTAAGTAGTTGAGAGTTTCAAAATGGAGAAATGAATGACTGCCATGATCTTTCGTTATCTGACCCTTTCCTTCCTGTCCAGACTCTCCCCTAGCAGACTCCCTTATGATCCCTCTAGCCATGTACGCTCTTGGCTTTGCCATGTACCTTTCTGGCTCTTTTTATAATGTGTTGACTTCCCTTGAATTTCAGCAACTTGAGGCTTCTTGCAGTTGTTACCAAAGTACCAGGAATTCAGTCTAGATCCTGCTGCTCACTGCACAGAAAACCAATGACTGAGAGGATGAACATTGCCAAAAAAGGAGCCTTTAATCGGGTGCTGCAGCTGAGGAGATGAGAGATCAGTCTCAAACCCATCTTCCTGACTGAATACAATTAGGGGTTTATATAGTAAGGAAGAAATGTGACTGTGTGGGGAACTCGGGGAGGATAAGGAACAATCATGATGAATGAGGGGCCTGGCATCTCATCATCTGAATGCAATAATCTGGCTAGTTTCAGGTTTTTTAATACTTTTTTAGAGGCCTGGGGAATCCTTTCCTGGGGAAGGAACTCAGATAAAACAAATGTAAGTTTCAAGCTTAAAGCCCAGAAGGGTCAATTTCTATGTTCATCCAACAGAACTGCGTATGAAAAAAATTGGGTGGGTTTAATGGTGTTCTGGTATCCACACTTCTATCATTGAGACACTATTCACCTTCTCTTACATGTCACCTATATTAATGTACTCCAAAGCACTTATGTTTCTGAAATTATATAATTAACTTTTTGCGCAGATATTCATAATGTGTCTCACTTAATACACTGTAAGTTCCATGAAAGCAAATGAATTATTTTTTTATTGTTGTATAAGGAACTATTACAGTGGCTTAAAAAAATGAAAATTTATTATCTCACAGTTTGCTTAAGTGAGGATTCTGAACAAGATTCTCTGCTTATAGTCTCAACCAAGCTAAAATAAAAGTGACAGGCGAGCTCTGATCTCATCAGAGAGTCTCAGCATTCAGTTCTAAGCTCAGTATGTTTTAGCAGAATTCACTTCCTTATGTTAGTGAATGAACCAAGCATAGGTCGGCTTCCTTGGTGCAGCAAAACAAAATGCTGACATCCAAATTGCACCACCACAGTCAGGCATTTATTGCAGGGCACCAAGCAAGGAGAATCAGGCAGCTCATGTTTAAGACCCAGACTCCTGGCGGCTTACAAGCAAGGGTCTTCAAAGCCAGGGGAAATTTTCAGGAGTGCAGAAGTTATAGTCTAAATCAATACATGGAGTTTATACATTGGTTTGGCCTAATAAAAAAGGTGTGATCTATTGAAGGAGAAGCTTACAGGTCTTAGGCAAATTCGAAGATTTTCTGATTTGCAATTGGTTAAGGAAGAGAAGCTCTGTTTAAAACTTTGGGGTCAGCAGAGAAAGGGTTAGCTCTGGCTTGTGGATGTGATTTCTTCCAGGTTCACAAATCTCAATTCTTGTGTTCTGCACACCTACAGGATCAATAACATGTGGAAGCTGCTAAGGCTTGGGGTTGCACCCTCTGTGCAACAGCCTGAGGTGTACCTTGGCCCCTTTTAGTCATGGCTGGAGCTAAAGCCGTAGGGATGCAGGGCACCATATCTTGAGGCTGCATAGAGAAGGGGGGCCCTGGGCCTTGCCCCAAAAACCATTTTTCTCTCTAGGTCTCTGGGCTTGTGATGGAGGGGCTGCCGTAAAGTTTTCTTACACACCCTGAAAACATTTTCCCCATTGTCTTGGTGATTAACATTTGGCTCCTAGTTACTTATGCGGATTTCTGCAGCAGGCTTCAATTTCTCTCCAGAAAAGTGGGTTTTTCTTTTCTATCACATTGTCAGGCTGCGAATTTTTCAAACTCTTATGCTCTGCTTTCTCTTGAATACTTTGCTGCTTAGAAACTTATTCCACCGGAAAGCCTAAATAATCTCTCTCAAGTTCAAAGTTCCACAGATCTCCGGGGAAGGGGCAAAATGCCGCCAGTCCCTTTGCATAGCAAGAGTGACTTTTACTCCAGTTCCCAACAAGTTCCCCATCTCCATCTGAGACCACCTCAGCCTGGACTTCATCGTCCATATCACTATCACGTTTTGGTCAAAGTCATTCAACAAGTCTTTAGGAAATTCCAAAGTTTCCCGCATCTTCCTGTCTTCTGAGCCCTCCAAGTCTCTGAGAATTTCCGTACATCCCCACATTTTCCTGTATTTTTCTGGGACCTCCAAACTTTTCCAGCCTCTGCCTATTACCCAGTTCCAAATTTACTTCCACATTTTTGGGTATCTTTATAGTAGCACCCCATTCTTGGTACCAGTTTACTGTATTAGGCCATTCTGTTGGTGCTAATAAAGACATATTTGAGACTGGGCAATTTATAAAGGAAAGAGGTTTAATTGACTCACACTTCCACATGGTTAGGGAAGCCTCAGAAAACTTAGACTCATGGTGGATGGGGAAGCAAACATGTCCTTCTTCACAAAGTGGCAGGAGAGAGAAGAATGAGTACCCAGTGAAGCGGGAAGCCCCTTATAAAACCATCAGATCTTGTGAGAACTAACTCGCTATTATGAGAATAGGATGGGGGAAACTGCTACAATGATTTAATTATTTTCACCTGGTCCTTCCCATGACACATGGGGATAATACAAACTACAATTAAAGATGAGATTTGGGTGGGGACACAGCCAAACCATATCACCATACTATGAAAATTATCCTTTTCTAGTTATTGTTGCACTTCAAAGACCTGATAAAGTCTATGGGTTGGAGGATGTGTCATTTTGTTTTCCTTTATAAGGTAAATCAAACAGCTACTGAGACACTATTTACCTGAAAAGGAACAGCCTTTGCATGCAGCAAGTCTCAACTTCAAAGTTAACAAATAAATATAGATAAATTTAAAAAGCCGTCAGAGATGGTTATTTAAGTATTAACTAAACATGTTTAATAGTTATCATGGGGGAGAATTAACATTATGTATTATATGTGTAATACATAAACACACACACATTATATGTAATTTCATCATTATTTTCTGGTCAAGTAATCTACTACCCCATTTTTAAGACACCACAAGTTAATGATTGATAATTTGGGAGAGACAATACAGCTGAGTGTTTTTCGGCTTTAAACCTAAGGTATTGCTCTGAACTTGTGGCCACTGACCCTGGGGCTTAACTATAACTCAAATTTTGCTGAGCTTCAAACACTAGTTCCAGTGACAAATGGAGCAAATTCTACAAACTGCTTCACACAAATAATGCTTTTGGATGCTTGTTGTACTCACTTGCAGAGCTGAGAGAACCATTTTTCTTCTAATCCTTATGGACAAAAAATGCATTAGTCTTTCCACTTCTAATCCAATCCATGACATTTTCCTCTCACGAGTAAATGGTTTTGTGGAGTCTCTGTTGGTCAATATAACCCCTGGCTTATGAAAACTTCTGTGCTATTCAGAGCTTCTATATTCTTCTGTAACCTTCAATACAGCACTTTGTCTGTCTGTAAATAAGAGTTAGATAGTTCAGGATAAAGGTATCTTAATCTTATCACTACTCAACTGTATACAGCTATTTAAACATAATGTAATATGTGCATAACTCTATAAAAATGTCAAGGATGTTAATAACAGATATAATATGTAAATAAATATCATTTTTAAAGAAGAAATTTAGTATATGCTTTAAAGATGGACTACTTGGCAATTTGACTCCTGCCTGTGTCCATATGCTTAACAATTATAAGATGTATACTCATTGAAAACCCTCACTCAGTACTGTATATATCAAACCCTATGTACTTTCAAAATTTATACAAATTAACACCCTACAAAATAGTTATTACTATTAATGTCATTTTACAGATGAAAAAGCTGAGGTACTGAGTGACTTTAAACATAACCTATAACCTCATAAAATTTCAGTTTCTACATTTGCATAGAATATGTGTTTAACAAAACTTTTCAATATATCTATGTTTTACATGACATTTTAAAATTTGTGGAGAGCAAGTTCTAATAAATTACAGTGTGCATAATATTGCCTTGATCATGGTTTGTGCTCAAAGTAAGTGGCTGATTATTTAAGGATTTCAAGTAGAAAATGTATAGCTATTTTTAAGGACTGTGAAAGATTAGAAAGTTTTTACGCTACCAGAAATCTAAGTAGGTATCTTTTCAAAATGGTATGAATTACAGTAGAAGATACAAGACTCCTGAATCGGATACAAAGAAGAGTTTATTATTATCAACAATCACCATAGCTAGAGTATTGGCATTTCTGCACCAGTTCCTGAGACCCAGTTTTCAAAGGGTAATGTGAAGAGGGATAGTTAACAACCTGTGTAAGTGGTAGGCTTCCTTACTGCAAAAAAATCCCGAGTATATATATGCCCATTATTTTTAACTGTGCAGTTAGAATGTTTATTTTTTGCCCTTCAGAAGTGGATACTCTCTGTATCTTCCAAGGCTGTTATACAAACATTTTTAAAAACGTAATTTGGAAAAAGGTACAAATGTGTCCTCATTTGTAAGATAATGTATAAATGTAAGAAACAACCAAGAATTTTCTCCCTAACATTTTTAAAAAAAATTATTGGCCCTACACTGCACTGATTCGGGTAGTGTGTATTTTTTAGATAGTCAAATATTTTTATTAGTTTTCAAAGTAGATGTCTCCTAGTCACTATCTGCCTGTGAACCTGTCTCTACAGCAGTAGAAGAATGAACGGTACATCTGTTCAAACAAGAGAAATGACATAAGAAACTACATTGGTTGGATATCTTGTGTGTCATTCTCCAGGTCCCATGCTTGTTTTAAGCATAACCATATCAGCTTAATATAAAACCATGGACTTCCTAAAATTAGAGAACTTAAAACAATGGAGACGAAGCTACACGAAAGAGACCCTGGATTATTAACTATGTGTAGCTTTAATGAAGGTTGGGTAGATAACAACTATTGCTAAAGGCTAAGTCAACAAGATTGATACACAGGTTGTTTACAGAAGCTATGTATACTGTATATCAATCCATTGTCTTGAAAACATTATACTCAAATGCATTTAGTTGAACAAATATAAGTATGTCACCATTAAGGAAACCAACAACAGGTGGCACGACACCCAGAGACTAGTACCGGTGTTAAGCCACTACTCCCCTTAGGTCTAGAGTATCAAAATAAACGAGGTAGATAACATTGCAGCCCTATATTTTTCATCTTTCATGGTTTTACCGCCTTTTTCTATGTTACTAGGCAGTTCATCTTACTAGAAAAAATGGGGTCTACCTTCCAGGTCTTTGATTTTTGGTTTGACTATGTGATTTGCTTTGACCAGTTGTTAGCCCATGTGATGCAAGCAGAAATCTGAAAACACATTTGAGTGTTTGAACTTTCAGATTTGCTCTCCTGCCATCACTGTGAGGGTACTCCTGAGCCAGCCAGCTGGAGGGAAAAACAGGAGGAGCAGGGCTGAGCCGTGCCAGTCATACATGTGTGGCCATCTTGTATCATCTTTAATGCTATTTCATCTAAGCCTGAAAGTGGAGAAGTCTTGAGCAAAGGGAATTGTGCAAAGAGAGATAAGAAACATGGAAACTGAGGGAATCTAAAAAGGTAAACAGGAATTTTATCCCAATAGAGATTCTTAGTTAAAGACAATTTGTATATTTTTGTCCAATATTTTCTCCCATACCGTCGTTCGTGAAAAGTTCTGTATCATGTCTTAGGAATACTCAACTGTTTTTGCTTCAATCTTTCAAAAATGGCATGCCTTTAATTAGTCAATTCAAATTCTTCATTTAAGGAAAGTAGAAAACAGAGAAAGTGATTTACAACTTAGTCACAATCACGATCACCAGATGACCGAATCAATCAGCTCATTCTGTCATCTCCTCCTGGGTGGTAGCACTTTTACTGTGAGGTCACTATCTTTGAATCAACAGAATCTATTTCTGAATTTCAGAGAATAAGATAATTAAATGTACCTTCAATTCAAATAAAAGGCAAACTGCTTTTCAATCATTGTTTAGTAAACTAAGTTTCTTGAAATGAACTATGGTTTATTTTTATTGAAATATGTACAAAGGTTAAATATGTGATGTTTATATGTTAATCATCTATTATTTTGTAGCTTTTCTATTATAAGAAATAAGGTCTTGCTCTTAGTTGTCTATGCATTTGAAGTCTGTGCAACTTGCTTCCTTAATATTGGACAGGCCGGGCGCTGTGGCTCACGTCTGTAATCCCAGCACTTTGGGAGGCCGAGGCGGGTGGATCTCAAGGTCAGGAGTTCAAGACTAGCCTGGCCAAGATAGTGAAACCCCATCTCTACTAAAAATACAAAAAAATTAGCTGGACGTGGTAGTGAGTATCTGTAATCCCAGGTAGCTGGGAGGCTGAGGCAGGAGAATAGCTTGAACTGAGAGGCGGAGGTTGCAGTGAGCAGAGATCGCACCACTACACTCCAGCCTCGGCAACAGTGCCAGACTCTGTCTCAAAAAACAAACGAACAAACAAAAATACTGGACAAAAGATAATGTACAATAGCAGTCCCTTGACCTTATTTTTTAAATAAAAAATGGAAGATTGTAGCTTAGCTAGAGAAGCAGTGTAGATGCAAGGTAGCAAGTGTGTCAGCTCAGCCTTCACATTCTCTGGTTATAGAATACCGATTGCCAAATTTTACTTTAATCTGGGAATGCACCTTGAACAACTGTCAATTACTATCTGGGAATGTGCCTTGCAGATAAACCCCGTTATTCAAGGGACGCTAGTCTACTGGCCTACATTGGTAATTTGATTGATTTTGCTCCTGTGTTTCTCCAGACCCACACAGATGTTCTGTTTCTTCACTATTTAAAAGTCTTTTTTGTTCGACTCCACATTTCTGTGATTGTAGTGGGAAATCTAACTGTCTTCTGGTTCAACCCCTCAGACTCTAATCATAGTTTTAATAACCGAAATATATGTAACCAAATTACATATATAGGTAACCAATGGTTACCGATATGTAACCATTATTGGTGCTACTGTGAAAATCACATGTCAAAATAATTTACTATCACTTCAAATTACTCCATAGGCAGAGTAATCTGAAAAGTAAGTCTATTTTGTTATAATGAGTCGGTCGCAAATACTGAGTTAGCTTAGTACTAAAAAATGGAATAGTCTGGATTACATTCCTTCCATAGTGTAGTGTATGCATCTGTATGTATATTGTCTGTTTTCTTCATACCTTTTTTGGTCACAAGCACAAGGGACAAGAGGAATTTGATGATTTCATGACCTGATCTAAGCCATTATGATTATATTGAGCTATGCCTTGCAAAAATTAATGTTGAAAAATGAGATCATTTATGAGATGAAACTACGATGCAGCTTTGAAAATATAAAGCAATTTTATAAGTTCAGTATAGTTTTTAAAAAGTAATTTTACACTCAAGGGATCTGAATCTTTCTAACTGTAAAGCGGGTAAAGGAGGAAAAATAAAACATGTTCACATTCTTTTGAAAAAACCTCCGCCATAGACCATTGTATGTAATGATTCCATAGCCAAAGGCAAATTTCTTCAAATTTCTTCCTTTGGCCTCTACAATACACATAACACATACACATTGCCAGATTTTGAAAAAATTAGAACGGATTAAAGGAATTAAATAAGTTATTTAAATACTAAGTATATATATATATATGTGTGTGTGTATATATATAGCAACAAAGGCTATCATATCATAAACTGAATATCATAAAATGAATATTAAAAGTTAACACAATTCCTTTTTATTTTAAAGCCATAAGACATATACCTAGACAACATGTGCATCAAAAGAAATTCAAGATCAAGTTTACAACTCTCGGAAGCGATGAAAAACATGATGGTTTATGATAAAACTATTGGCAAAAGCCAAGTTTTACTCAGTTTATAAACTAAAGTGTCTTCATAATCAAACAGAAAAATTAAAGTAGTTTTATATTCAAATTAAGATGTTAGATTAAAAAAGTCCCAATTAGCTAAAAGTAATTTAGAAAATTCAAGTGAAGATTTAAAATAAAATTAATAGATTAGAGAAATGAAGGTTAAAATATATATGGATGCCATATTTGCCATATTTTGAGCACCCAGTAATTGTTTCTGGTTCCTAATGAAACAGGAGTGTTCCCTGACGACCTTGCGGGACTTGTGACAAAGGTGTGGCTCCTTTGCTTGGCTGTCATTTACTCAAACCCCTTACAGAAGAGGGAGCTTGCAGATGGGCAGTTCCCTAGCCTCTGGGCTCTGGCCCCACTATAGCATCTAGGGGTGTGTTACAGTTAATGCCCTTTTAGCAGTTGCTGTCCGAGGATGGCCAGGTATTAAACCAGCTCAGTGGAGAGTCAGGGTGACAGCCTTAACACCCTGCCCTCTTGGTACCAGAGTCCTTGCCTGGCATCCAGGAAGAATCAGATCACTTGGACTTGAAAGATGGTGAATGTGGGGATTTTATTGAGTGGTGGAGGTGGCTCTCAGTGGGATGGATGGAGAGCTGGAGAGAGGATGGAGAGCTGGAGAGAGGATGGAGAGCTGGAGAGAGGATGGAGAGCTGGAGAGAGGATGGAGAGCTGGAGAGAGGATGGAGAGCTGGAGAGAGGATGGAGTGGGAATGTGATCTTCCCTGGAATTCAGTCATCCCACAGCTGATCTCCTCTCCAACTGTCCCCAGCCGAATTCCTCCTGACGTTCAGATGCTCCTCCTCTTCTCTCCTGTGATGTGCTGCTCTGCGTTCTGCCGCTGCTCCTCTACTCCTCTGTTTGCGGAGCTTGGGGTTTATATAGGCAGAGGATAAGGACGTGGCAGGCTGGAATGGTCTTGGAAAAGGCAATATTTGAGCATGAAAACAGTAATGTCTGTTCCCATTTAGCGCCACAGGTTTCCAAGCTTGATGATGGGGTTTTTCCTGAGTACCACCCTTTTCTACCCAGTATTTTTCTGCTTCCTGTCTGTACCACTACCATTTCCTTTTTGTTTTCTCCTTTGTGTGAGTGTCCATATTTATTCTTTCCTTTTGTCCTAAATTTTTTCCTTTGTCTAATCATGCAAACTCCTGGAAAATTACTTAAACTTGTAATTCAAGGATGTGTCAAAATGAAAAAAAATTAACAATGTAGTTTGAGAATAAAAGTGTCAGTGATGAGAATGAAAGTTCTGTAAGCACGGAAATTATTTAAAATGAATGAGGAAATTCAAGTATAGTATGTAATTAAGATTATTGCCACCTCACTGAAAGCGTTTGTAATATGTAATTATCAAAAAATTAAGAATAGTTACTGAGAAAAAATATAGAGCATTGCAGAGAAAAAAAATGCAAGATGCACATACCCTAAACTTACACAGTAGAAAAATTAAAAGAAGAAATCTACAAAATCTAAAAAGGAAAAAAAAAGTTTGTGCTTTGATTTATGGAAACAAAAGTAAATAAAAACACTTTCGTGTTGTATTAGTCTTCTAGTGTTTCATAACAGCTTGTCACAAAGCTAATGACTTAAAACAATGCATAGTTTTTTAAACTTTCATTTCCATTTCATGATCAAAAACAAGAAGTGCTCTCTGCAGCCCTCTAAATAGACTATTACATCATGGTGAGCTTACTTCCGCAAAGGTAAAAAGGAAGAGGGTGTCTCTGGTACAAGAGGCAGCTCTGTGTGTAGATACTGTAACCTAAGCACAGGAGTGACACCAATCTCCACAATATTCTATTGTTAGAAACAAGTCACAGATTCCTTCTACATTCGAGGGCAAGGATTTATACAGGACTCGAATACGGGGACCACTCTAAGGTCTATCAAATATACCTATTAAATAAATACCCTTGGTTTGGGTTAAACAATCCAATACTATAAAATTTTCTAAAGCTTGACAAAGAAGTAATATTTAAATAAAAGAAGAAAAACATGTTCTGATCGTATGTTGGTAAAACAGCATTAAACACAAAAAGCATAAAAAGGGGGAAAAATCATGAAGCTGGCTACACACTGTGAGACTGAACTGGTTGTTAGAAAAATAGAAGTTTTTCAGAAATAAAATAGGGTTCATTTGAACTCATGAATTTGAATCTCCATTTATATGTCACTTCCTGAATATTGTATCTTGTATCGCTTGATCCCCTAGCTTTTCTATGCTTTTTAGTTCTTCTTTTTGATATCTCCATTATACATATAATTAGTTGATTAATATTTGTATTCTAGCCTTAACTGCAGTTCCATGACAGGAGGTTCAAACAGTCACTATTATACAGAAATATATCTAGTATGTAACAAAAGCTTAATAAGTCTTTAGCAAATTAAGTTAAAATAGGCTGGGAGGGGTGGCTCATGCCTATAATCCTAGCAGTTTGGGAGGCCAAGGAGGGCGGATCACAAGGTCAGGAGTTCAAGACAAGCCTGGCCAATATGGTGAAACCCTGT